CTCCATCTTGGGCAACAAGAATGAAACTCCATCTCAAAAACAAAAACAAAAAAGCACACACAGACTTCTGGGCCCTACTCCCAGAGCTTCTGTAGGCCTGGGATGGGGAATTTCTAACAAGTGCCCTGGTGCTTCTTGTCCGGTACAATGGCTCTATCTGTTGGAAGTCAGGATATCTTGTGGGTAGTGAAGAGAAGGAGTCCAAGGTGGATTTTGGAGGTGCAGGCAGTGCATGGTTCTGCTTTGACCCAGGTACTGATTGCATGGGTGTGCTCATTTGTGAAAACTGGACTAACTGAACACTTATGATTTGTATACTTTTTTTTTTGGAGGCAGTGTCTCACTCTATCACCCAGGCTAGAGTGCAGTGATGCAATCTCGGCTCACTGCGACCTCCGCCTCCTGGGCTCAAGCCATCCTCCCACCTCGGCCTCCTGTGTAGCTGGGACTATGGGCAGGCGCCACCATGCCTGGCTGATTTTTTTTTTTTTTTTTTTTTTTTTTTGTAGAGACAGGGTTTCACTGTGTTGCCCAGGCTGGTGTCAAACTCCTGAGCTCACGTGATCCACCCACCTCAGCCTCCCAAAGTACTGGGGTTACAGGCATGAGCCACCGTGCCTGGCCTTGTATACTTTTTATATTTCATTAAAAATTCAATAAAGAAGAAGAAGAAAGGAAAGAGAAAAGCAAGGGAAAGAGGAAGAAAAATGTAAGGGGGGGAAGGATGAGAGAGAGACAGAAGACAGAGAGAGAGAGAGAGAGAGAGAGAGAGAGAAAGAGAGAGGATGAGCCAGCTGCTGGTTCAGCCAGCTCTGACTTTCCATCCTGGATGGTGAGTGGTGATTCTACTCTTCTCATCTGAATCCATATCACAAGCACCTCACTTTCATAATAAGGTATAGAAAGTAAGAAAGGAAAATGAAACCCCCAATTCACTCTGCCAAAAGGAAAAAGTTAAACTGAAAGTTGAGTCATGGGAGAAGCTGCCTTTCCTTTGTTCCTAAGCAGAGAGCCACAGGTAAAAGGCCAGAGAGCTCCACGGGTAGCTGCTCTGTGTTCACCTTATCTTACGTAAAGTTACTGAGCGTGAGACGAATACCTAATTGAATATGTGATTCCCCTACCTGCTCCTTTTCTCTCGCACCATGCGGATTTCCAGACCCTTCCTCATTCCCCGCCAGCCTGCTGTTCCCTTTTAAATACCGAGGCCCTCAAAGTCATCTTTGGAGAAAGGCACAGACCACTCTGCTGGGCATGTCCTTAACCTTGGAAAAATAAACATCCACACTGATTGAGACCTGTCTCAGACACTTCCCGCTTTACAAAAGCATCAGGAACACAGTAGCTGCTCAATGAACAGTGAGATTGTAAGCTGTTCCATACAAGCGTGTGGGCACCTCTGGGAGGACCTGGCCATCTGTGTTTGCTAGGTTCATTTTAATTGTGTTAATTGTAACCAGTTAGGATGGGGAGGACCACAGGTGTCCTGGCAGGCCAGAGGACCTCCTGGGGCGTGATGATGCCCTTCACTAGGGAAACTTCTTCCTTATGGCTCTCAGCTGGAGGACAGTGTGCTGAGGGCCCGAGGAACAGGCCCTGTGCCAGGTCCTTCAGCCACAGCTGGTAGCAAAGGCCCCTCCAGAAAGCATTCTGCCCTGGAACACTCAGCTTGCCCTGCAGACCCAGGCCAGCACTGAGGAAGTGAGTGCAGAAGCTTCCCATGGGGGAACAGCCAGGCCTGGCACCTGCAGCCATGAGAGCTTCCGAGAGGGCGAACCTGGTTTGCACCTGTGATCTTTGCCCCCGACATGGTTTCCTCTTCCCCACAAACAAGAAGATTCCCAGCCCTCGCCTTCACAATCCTTGCCAAGAATTGCAGGCAGGATGAGAATGATAGCTTCAGTCGAAGAACACGGAGGAATCACCCTCCTAATACTCACAATACCCCCGCGGAGTGGGTACTCCGCACATTTTTTTTTTTTTAACCAGTCTTGGTCTGTTGCCCAGGCTGGAGTGCAGTGGACAATCTTGGTTCACAGCAACCTCCACCTCCTGGTTTCAAGTGATTCTCCTGCCTCAGCCTCGCAAGTAGCTGGGATTACAGGCAGGCACATGCCACCATGCCTGGATAATTTTTGTATTTTAGTAGAGACAGTTTCACCATGTTGGCCTGGCTGGTCCTGAACTCCTGATCTCAGGTGATCCGCCTTCCTCAGCCTCCCAAAGTGCTGGGATTATAGGCGTGAGCCACTGCGCCTGGCTGGGTACTCACTTTATGGAGCCATCCTGTGGGGGCGGGCACTACTATTTATGCCCATTTTACAGATAAAAAAATGAAAGCCCCAAAAGGCCAAGTCAGGATAATGATTGCTAAATTTTATTTTATTAATTTATTCAAGACAGAATCTTACTCTGTCCTCCCAGCTGGAGTGCAGTGGCATGATCTCAGCTCTTTACAACCTCTGCCTCCCGGGTTCAAGCAATTCTCGTGCCTAAGCCTCCCGAGTATATGGGATTACAGGCATTCGCCATCATACCCAGTTAATTTTTGTTTTTTTAGTAGAGACGGGGTTTTGATGTGTTGGCCAAGCGATCTGCCCACCTTGGCCTCTCAAAGTGCTGGGATTACAGGCATGAGCCACCGTGACTAACCCTAAAATTTTTTTTAAATCACAGAATACTCTTAACAGTCTTCTGTGTTGACTACTGCCATTATCCCCATTTTAAGAAGGGGAAACGGAGGCACAAAGCGGATAAGTACTTCGCCTAAGGTGACACCACTAGGAAATAGCAGAGCCAGGATGCACACCTGGGCAGGTTGACCAGCCCACTCACTCCACCACTGCACAGCAGCGGCTCGGCCATAGGGTGATGGGTCTGAGTCCCAGCTCCATGACTCGAGGGCACCTTGTTAATCTCTCTGGGTCTCAGTTTGCTCATCTCTAAAAAGGGCGTATTAGAGGTGCTTTCCTTTAGGAACATCCTAAGGATGACGTGCAACGGTGTGGACAGAGCGCTTGGCAGAGGGAACCTCATCTATAGGAATCGCTCTGTGCACATTCCTTTGTCTTGTCCATGTTCTTCCTATTTTGGGGGCGGATATCAGAACTTTGCCTGGTAATGTGTTTAGGGTTTACCTTTACAGGACCTGACCCATGGAAATTCTCAGCCTATGAGAGACCAACAAGAGTCAGATAAACTCAGGTCGGACTAGAATCCACCCCAGCTGTAGACCAGCTTTTAGATAGGTCACTTTCCCGGGTGTTTCCTCATCCCTGAGCTAGAGTTAGCTATAGTTGCCATGCAGGGGCTTTGTGAAGGTTACCTGGCTCAAACTCAGCCTATGATTTTCCAACCAGGGTTTCTGGTGAGGGTGATACCTGAGATTGTGCTGGGGGCCAGGCAGCACAGGCCTCCATGACTAGCAACCGCACCTGGGGTGGGTCATTTACAAACACTGTGTATGGGACTTGCACTCATTTTCGGGAGCCCTACTTGCCCTTCCTTGCTCTGCATTTCCCAAGCTCCCCTTTCTTCCACCTTTCCAGCAGGTTTGATTCATGGGAGGCATAACTGGAAACAGGGGGATAGCAGCAGGCAGAAGCTGGGGCGCATCTCCCCACCTCTGTCTACTTTTTGTTAGGTCTACAAGGCTGCATCTCCTTGGCGGCTGCAGCTCCCAGCAGACAGCCTTGCTGGGTCCCATCCTCTGCCTGCCAGTGCCAGCACTGGGCTCTGCCCTCCCTGTGCCCCTCCATCCTGAGGCTGGTGTTCTTTCCCCTCTTGCATCCCGGGGTCCCCTGCCTGGCTTCTCAGATGGGTAACTAAGTCCTCTCATTAAATTCCTCCTATGTTATCATGTTGAGTCAAAGATGTCATTCCTTAGAGAATACCTATCATATGGTTGTATTAAGGAGAAGTTCAAGAACAAAAAGCTCATCTGTGGTGATAGAAATCAGAACAGTGCTTGCCTTGGGGAGTAGAGGGCTAGCTGGGAAGGAGCCAGAAGAAACTCCTTGAGATGATGAAAAGCTTTTATACCTGGATTGAGAAGTTGGTTACATGAGTGAGTACGTTCATGAAGACTCGTTAAACCATATGCTTAAGACCTGTATATTTAGCTGTGCCTAAATTATACCTTAATAAAATTAGCTTAATAAGAAGAAATCCCTGTTTAAATACCAAGAGTGTTTTCTAATTTCCTGCTTGGATCCTAATGGAAATACAGTTTTATTTTTTAAACAAACACAGGTAGCCCATGGAGGAAGATGTAAAATTTATGTATTTGGTATTGGGTTTTGTAGTTTTTGTTCTGGGGGTTTTTTGTAAACAATAAAACCTGAGACTTCGAAGAATTTCACCCTTGGCTTGGTGGATTTCAGGCTATGCTCCCCAGTCCCTGGGAGGCAGCCTTCATTCTCCCTGATCTTTTCTGGTCAGAAACCCTGGGAAGCACTGTCCTATATAAAGTGCTTAGTGCCTAGCACATAGTAGATGCTCAAGAAATGTTAATTATTAGTCAGGTACAATAGCTAACACCTGTAATCCCAGAACTTTGGGAGGCTGAGGCAGGTGGATCGCCTGAGGTCAGGAGTTCAAGACCAGCCTGACCAACATGGCGAAACCCATCTCTACTAAAAACACACACACATACATAGAGCCAGGCATGGTGGTGCATGACTGTAATCCCAGCTACTCAGGAGGGTGAGGCAGGAGAATTGCTTGAACTCAGGAGGCTGCAGTGAGCCAAGATCGTGCCACTGTACTTCAGCTCCAGCCTGGGCAACAAAAGCAAAACTCTGTCTCAAAAAAAAAAGAAAAAAAAAGAAATGTTAATTATTATTAATACAAATTGGGTTTCATGGATCACTTAAAGGCCTGTCTTCTGGCCTTCTTTGAAACTGTATAATTTCACCTCGTGAGGTTCACAGAGAACTCCACCCCTGAATTCTGCCCAGAAGGGAGGGCTTTCTCAGAAAACACAGGCCTGACACACAAGATCACACATAGGCTTGTATTCAGGGACGATTTTACAAAACTTCAGAAAAGGCAGCAGGAGAGCCACAATCTCTGTGTGCCTTCTCTTCATCCTACCCCAGAAAAAGGGCCAATCTTGTACAGCACCTGCTGCAGCCTCAATATTAAGGGAACGCTTGTCCCATCTCTTGCCCAGAGGCAGCTGGAGAGAAAGCTCACCCGTGTGCATGTTTGATAAAGGCTGTGTGTATAGCAGGGAATGGGCCAGAGGACCCTGGACACCTTGGCCAACCTCCTAAGCAGTGAGTTAGAGGAAAGGGGACTAGGTCTTACAGCCACACTGTACGTTGGGGTCCAGGCAGACCAGGCAGCATGTTAATATTTGTGTCTTGCATGTGGGCCCAAGCTGAAGTGTTGCCTGCAGCCAAGGGCCTGGGCAGGGGCCATCTGCCATTAGCACAGGGCCCAGGCGCACCGTGTCCCCATTCCCTGCCCGGCTCTAGAAGGCCCTGTTCTGTGGTCTGCGGCCCCTGGAGGATGGGCAGGGCCTGGACAGGCACAGGCGGTGCTGGGTCTCCAGTTGGCAGAAGCGGTTCTGGTTGGACACCCGGGTGGCCATGCCCAGCCCACAGGTGGTCGAGCAGGGTCCCCAGGCAGTGCTCCATTCTGGGCAGGGGACACCAGGAGGCAGAGAAGCGACAAGGCCAGAAGACTGAGGTCCTAGGGGGAAAGAACGAGAGTTAGCACTGAGTGGCAGAGCTTGGCAGCTCGATCAGCGCCCCCCACCAGTGGCCACGGCCATCTTGGTCACGTGGCTCAGTCTCTCTGCATCTCAGTTTCTTCGTATGTAAATTTCCTCACAGTGGATGGCACTGAATAAAATAATGGGCATGAAGTGCCTAGCACAGTGCCTGGTATTTAAGATCCCCATAAATATTAGTTATTTGGCAGCCAGAGTGTGTGGCTCGCCATGGTCCCTCAGTGTGAACCGCGGCTTTCTCTTCTCTTTGGATAAACAGCATCTTACAGGTAGGGGGCGCCCGGCTGTGTGGAGTGGTGCTTTGACCCGGTGGCAAGGATGCTGAAGATTCCAGGATTCTTGTGCCTGGAACAAGATGGCAGGTTCGCCATGGTCTAGCTTTTTCTCTGCTCCACATCTCCCTCTCTGTGAATATTTTGGTGTCCTTCCTTCTAGTCTTTTATGCCAGTAGTCCTCAACTAGGGGGATTTTGCCTCCCAGGAAAGGTTTGGCAATGTCTGGTGACATTTTTGGCCATTGCAATTAGGGAGGTGCTACGCGTATCTAGTAGACAGAAGCCAGGGATGCTGCTAAGCCCCCACAGTGCAAGGAAAGACCCCTAACAAATAATTACTTGCCCCAATTGTCACTAATGCTGAGGTTAAGAAACTCTGATTTCTACCCACATGTGTGTGCTGTACGTGCATGTATATGTGTAGATACACCTGTATACATGCATAGGGATACACTTAGTGGAGATTGAGTTGGAAATACACCTCTTTTTCTTTTCTTTCTTTTTTTTTTTTTGGTTGAGATGGAGTCTCACCCTGTCACCTCGGCTGGAGTGCAGTGGTGCAATCTTGGCTCACTGCAACCTCCACCTCCCAGGTTCAAGCGATTCTCCTGCCTCAGCCTCCTGAGTAGCTGGGATTACAGGCACCCCCCTCCACCCACCACGCCCAGCTAATTTTTTTGTATCGTAGAGATGGAGTTTCACCATGTTGGCCAGGCTGGTCTCGAACTCCTGACCTCATGATCTGCTTGCCTCAGCCTCCCAAAATGCTGGGATTACAGGCTTAAGCCACCATGTCCTCTTTTCTTCTTTCCTGCTTTTATCCATAAGGCAAATACGCTTTCTCTCCTGCTTTTTATCCATAAGACAAACTCATTGGTGTTTTTCTATGTATTTAAATAATTCTATCATATACCATCACAGGGACAGTAAGAGCTACCTCTGATACAGTACCATGTGCCAGGCTACAGCTGCTTGGTTTGCACAAACCCATGTGGTTCTCACAACGCCATGAAGTGGATGCTCTTATTGTCCCCATTTTACAGCCAGAGAAGCTGAGACACAGAGAAGTTAAGCAACTTTCTCAGAGACACAGCAATGAGGAGGTGGCGGGGCTGGTCAGAAACCATGCACCTGACCTATAACACTTGACTGCCTCTCGTGGGTGGCAGCAGCATTTATGAAATTAATCCTCCTCTTTTCAGTTGCCTTTTTGAAAAAGTCACATTCATGTAATAATTTTCAAAAAGCAACACAGCAACAACAAAAATCTCTAAAATTGAAGAGTTTTAGTGGGATGGTGGGAGGTAACCATCTTCTCTCCATCTCCAGCCCCCCCAGGCCCATCTCCCAGAGCAGCCACCTTACCTGGTTCAGTTTTGAGTTTCTTTTTTAATAACCCCAAATAATAATAAATTAATACATTATTGATATGTATCCATATATTAAAACACAGTCATATTATATATTCTAAGCGCTTACCTCTATTACATCTCTGAAATGTGAGAATGTGGTTCACGTACCCTAACCCTCCTTTCCTCTCCCCACTCTGTCACCCAGTTTTTATTTTTAGTTATTTGTGGTTGTAAATTACACATCTCGACGGCGGTGGCTTTTTGTTTATCAGTTTTAAAGAGGCCTGTTGACCTTCCACTCCTCTTTCTTTTTTTCTCTTTTGGGACGGAGTTTCGCTCTTGTCGCCCAGGCGGGAGTGCTGTGGCGCATCTTTGCTCACGGCAACCTCTGCCTTCCAGGTTCAAGCTATTCTCCAGCCTCAGCCTCCCAAGTAGCTAGGACTACAGGCGCTGCCCCTATGCTCGGCTAATTTTTGTAATTTTAGTAGAGACGGGTTTCGCTGTTAGCCAGGCTGGTTTCAAACTCCCAACCTCAGGTGATTAATTGGCCTCGGCCTCCCAGGCGTGAGCCACCATGCCCCGCCCTCCACTCCGCTTCTAACTCCCTCTTCAGCCTCTGCCCCTCCCAGCTCCTGATGTGTCCCTGGGTCCTGGCAGCCAGGAAGCCCCACCCTGCCCACCCCCCCCAGGTGGTCCTCTGCACCCTCAGGCAGTCCTGCCCCGACCTGGACCAGCACTGCGCTCACCTTGGGCTGGAAGGGGCTGGGCTGCCAGTCCCCCTCCTTGGTCGCACACCCACTCAGGGCAGCACTTGCCGGGGACCTCGACCCTCCTGGGGTGGGGGCAGTCCCAGCTGGGCACCCGCACATCCTCAGGGCACAGAGGCACACAGGTGAAGCCCCCATCCTCGCAGCGGCAGCGGATCCTGCAGTGGGGCTGAAAGATCTCCCCTTCCCGATACAGGCGGCCGTTCACCTCACAGCTGCCGTCCTCCTCTGCCACTGTGGAGGAGAAACCGCACCCCCATCAGTGACCCGCAAAGCCGCACAGGTCTCTCTGCAGAGCTGCCCAGATCCCCCTGCGGGAGGCAGCAGCCTCACAGTAGCTGAGCCCTGCCCAGGGCTCCCACTAGGATATGCGCCTCTCCCCAACCCTCCCCTAGCCTTTTGGGGCACCCTGGATCCTGGCACAGGGATTGCAAGAAGACGGGCCTGGACCGACCGCCCCAGCTCCGCCCTTTCTTAGCTATGGACCTGGCCAAGTGATTTCCCTTCTTCTTGCCCCAGTTTCCTCATTTGCAAGCTGGGCTATCATGGTACTTATTGTCCAGGTGGCATAGAGTACTTGGAATGGTGATCCCAACGTAAACACCTTCCGCAGGTCCTCGCTGCTGCTATGATCATTGGTATAATTACTGTCTGTTATAACGCTTAAGTAGCCTGTGCCCACTGAGATTTCATGCAACAAACTCATCCTCCACGGGTTGTGTTGTAGTCATCACTGTCAGATCAGGACTTAACTTGCTGGCTGTGTGTCTTTCAGTAAGTTACTTAACTTCTCTGAGCAGCCTGAACAACAGCAATGCTGATCTTGGTAATTGTACCTTCAGGTTCCCTGGGGTGACATGTGCACAGCCTCTAGCACACAGTGCTACGCATGGCCTAGGTACCCAGGGAACACTCTTTCAATGAAGCCCTCAAGGTGTGGGCGTTACTGCCACTTCCTCCACTGGACATGAACTCCATGAGGGCTGGGGCTGATGGTGTTTGTCCCTGCATCTCTCCAGCAGGCTCAGGGCCTACATTCGACACATAGGACCACAGGAAATGCCCCTTGAATGAATAATTGGCATAGGCTTGGCACAGGAGAGGCACTGATGGAACAGCCCTACTCCTGATCATTCCAGAGGTATTTACTGTTTCCCTCCTGTGTGCCGCAGCCACTGTGCTCCTGGACAGAAAGAGGACAGATCCTGCCTCGAGGGACTCATGGGCGGGGCGGGGAACAGGTGTGAGAGCCTCACGTCCAAGACAGAATGAAGTAAGAGCTCTGGAGAGGTGTGTGAGCTGCTCAGGAAGTGCAGATGGGAATCAGTGTGTGTGTGAGACCTGGGTGGCCGCTGAGCTGCGTCTGGGGAAAGGACTTCTTGGCAAGCAGGTTCTCCCAGCTCTTCTGAGAATACCTTCCAGTGGGTCTACACACACACACACACACACACACACACACAGGGGTTTCAGAACCACACAGACTGAGGTTCAAACTCTGGATGCCACTATGGTGCCTGGGACAAGTTATTTTGCCTCTCTGAGCCTTGGTACCCAGCTCACAGGACTGCTGGGGGAATAGATGAGCTAGGGGACTTATAGCATTTTGCCCCGAGCCTGGCGCATGGCAGATGCTCAATAAATGGGAGTGGGTTATGCTTCCATATAGCATCTGCTATGCACCAGGCTTGGGGGGAAATGCTTTACATCCCCTAGCTCCTCGAATCCTCCAGCAGGGAAGGCCTCACTGAGAAATAACGCTGGTAGAGGGAACAGCCAGTGCAAAGGCCCTGAAGCAGCACAAATACCACACCCTGGGGTATCTAAGAAACAGCAAGGGGCCAATGCGGCTGGAGCAGAGAGCAGGAGGAGATGAGGTCAGAGAGGAAACAGGAGCAAGATCCTGTGAGGCCTCGTAGGCCACTGGAGACTTCGGCTTTTACTCTGAGGTGGGAAGCCACCAGAAGGCTTGGGGCAGAGGAGGGAGGTGATCTGATGTAGGGCTTCTCAGGAGCTCTCTAACTGCTGTGTTGTGAATAGACCAGGGGCAAGGACAGAAGGAAGGAGACGATTATGGGGCTACTGCAAAATCCAGGCCAATGATGACAGGGCTCGCACCAGGGTGGTAGCCACCGAAGGGATGGGAGTGTCGGATGCTGGAAATCGCATGATAAATTTGCTGGTGGATGGCATGTAGGAGGTGAGGAAAGAATGACGTCTAGGCCAGGTGCCGTGGCTCACGCCTGTAATCCCAGCATTTTGGGAGGCCGAGGCAGGTGGATCACTTGAGGTCAGGAGTTCCAGACCAGCCTAGCCGACATGGTGAAACCCCATCTTTACTAAAAATACAAAAATTAGTCAGGTATGGTGGAGTGCATCTGTAATCCCAGCTACTTGGGAGGCTGAGGCACAAGAATCACTTGAATGCAAGAGGCAGAGGTTGCAGTGAGCCGAGATCATGCCACTGCACTCCAGCTTGGGTGAAAGAGTAAGACTCCATCTCAAAAAAGAGAAAGAGATTGAGAGAGAGACATCTAGAACGACTCCAAGGTCTTGAGCTTGAGCCATGAGACGGATGGATGGGGAGGCCGATCTGCAGGGCAGGAGATCAGGATCCTGGCATTGGATGTACCTTTACCACGATGGTGAATCTGCAGCACATCTCACAGCTCAAAGCTCGTCCTTAGAGAAGCATGTTCAACGAGTAAGTGATAGGACTGAGGTTTTTGGCAGCATGTTCCCTGCGAAGCCCTAGACTGAGCCTTTGCGATGTCTTAGCTGGACTCTGACTCACCTTTGGGGCTCACCAGATCCCAGCCTCTAAATTCAGTTTAAATCATTAAACCCTCACGAGCACCCACCATGTTGTCAGACCAAGGTGGGGAGTTTTGGGAAGGACCAGGCACCCAAGTACATCCTTGGCCTGCAGGTGTTTGAAGTCTGAATTAAGATGGAATAAGAAAAGTCCCTTAATAAAGGTATCGACAATCACAGCCTATATACTAATCACATGCTGCATGTCAGGAAGTTGAGCAATGGAGCTTGTGAAGCCAGCTCCCTGAGTTCAAATCTCAGCTCTGCCACTTATGAGCTGTGTGAGCGTGGGCCAGTTGCTTAGCCTCTCTGTACCTCTTTTTTCCATTTATAAGAGAAGGGTGACATTATACCTACCTCATGTGGTTGTGAGATTAAATAGGTTTATATTTGTGAAGCCCTCAGTGTCTTGCATGTGGTAAGGGCTGTGCAAGTGTAAAATAAACTCTGTGGGTGCTGTTTACACGTGTCACGGGGAATGTAAATAATGGCTTTGTAAGCAAAGTGTTACTTACCTCAATTTTTTTTCAGATACATTTTCATAAGCAATCCTCCCTCAGTCTGTGTAACGAGTCACCTCCTTATACTTTCAATGCTTGTAAATAAAGCATTTCACATGGATTACCTTTTGTGTGTGTGTGTGTTAGGGTTTGGTCTATTGCCCATGGGTGCAATCATGGCTCACTGCAGCCTCAAACACCCAGGCTCAAGCAATCTTCTCACCTCAGCCTCTCAAGTTGCTGGGACTACAGGCATGTGCCACCGTACTTGGCTAATTTTTTATATATATAGAGAGAGAGAGAGAGATAGGATCTCACTATGTTGCCAAGGCTGGCCTAGAACTCCTGGGCTCAAGTGATCCTCCTGCCTCAGTCTCCCAAAGTGCTAGGATTATAGGCATGAGCCACTGTGCCTGGCCTGTTGTTTTTTAACAAGGCTTTTCCTACAGATAGATTCGTTGTCAATGATTCATGAGCTCTTCTCTCTCTCTCTCTCTCTCTCTCTCTCTCGTTCTTATTTTTATAAAAGTGTGACATGCTCATAGATGAAAGAGGTAAATTGTTCTACAAGGCTTATTATTAAAAAAGGGGGAAAAAGAAGAACACACTCTTGTTTCTGCATTTCTCTAAAGGGATGGTTCTCAGCTGCAGATTTTGCCCCCTGGGGAAATTTGGCACTGTCAGAAGATGGACTGTCACAACCTGGGGGATGGGAGTGCTCCTGGCATTGAGCAGGTGGAGTTTGGGGGTGCTGCTAGAAGTCCTACCATGCATAGGACACCCTCCCATGCACGGGACACCCTCCCAGGCACGGGACACCCTCCCACGCAGGGGACACCCCCCCCACTCATGGGAAACCCTCCCACGCACAGGACACCCTCCCAAAGCAAAGAATTCTCTGACACCAAGTCACTACAGCCAGCTTGCAAAACCCTGCCCCAAAGCATCAGAGGATATCAAGGTCTAGAAGAGTGGGAAGGAATGCAACGTGCTCAGGTGACTGGTGAAGACGCAGCAAACCCAAGATTCCAACAGTGTTCTGAGGGCTCCCACACTCAGAGAAGACAGAAAGAAATGTTCCTTAGGGCCTATTGGATCCAGTCTCAGGCCATGTGACATGAAGCATGTCCCTTAATGCTGGTGAACCTCCGTTTCCTCATTCATAAAATGGATCTGAAAGTACTTCCCATCCTGAGGTTGCTGTGAGGATGATGTGATTTTTGTAGCAGGTGCTTAGCCCAGTTCTGGACACATATTATGCCCTAAAGAAGAGATGGCACTTTTCCTCATAGCGTTGTAAGGATCCTGGGAAGGGAACAGTGGCATCGGTTTGAAGAATCTGGGGAGAAGCTGTTTGAACTTGGCTTTGAAAGTTGGCAATGATACAGACAGGTAGGGATGGAGGAAGGTTATTGGGGTAGTGGGATGGTTTAAGCAGAGGCCAAGAAAGGAGAGGGGGTGGGGAGCCTTGGACCACCAGGTTCGGCTAGAATGGACAGGGTACCTGAAGTGAGCATCAAACGGGTTAGAGAGAGGAGGGCTGCGCTGTGATTCAGGATGCCATGGCCTTGACCCCCCACCCCTCTTAGACACCCCCCTCAGTCCTGCAAACCTGCTTACAGAGGCACAGGGCCCCGTGGCCCCCGGGTCCTGCCCTGGGCTGGCAGACCAGGCCCTGGCTGGCGTCGCAGACGTGGAGTTGGTCGCAGGGCTCCCCCAGCCGCCGTGCACATACCCAGCAGCAGCCACAGCCATCCATCACCAGGGGTACTCCCAGCGGGCATCGGGGAGGTGACCAGGGGCAGGCACATGGCATTGGGCACAGCTGGGCACACACCTGAAGAGACAGAGACCTCACTCAGCCACAGCTTTCGAGATGGGTGGTGAGACCCTCACAAATGGCCACCTCTCTGCTAGGCGGGGCAGTGTGGGGTCCACACCTTAGCCTCAGAGCCATGCAGACCTGGCCTCCAAGGCCAGTAGCCCCGTGGCATGCCCTAAGAGGCAGTTTGGCATTGTGGTTATGGGCAAGGACTCTGGGCTACAGTTCCAGCCCTTTTTTTTTTTTTTTTTTTTTTAGTTAGAGTCTCACTCTGTCGCCCAGGTTGGAGTACAGTGGCATAATCCCGGCCTCACTGCAACCTCCGCCTCCCAGGTTCAAGTGGCTCTCGTGCCTTAGCCTCCCGAATAGCCGGGACTACAGGCATATGCCACCATGCCCCGCTAATCTTTGTATTTTTAGTAGAGACAGGGTTTCACCATGTTGCCCAGAATGGTCTTGAAATCCCGAGCTCAGGCAATCCGCCCGCCTCAGCCTCCCAAAGTGCTGGGATGACCACGCGAGCCACTGTGCCTGGCGAGAATTCCAGTTCTAATTCTGCCCCTTATTAGCTGAGTGACCTCGAGGAAGTTACTTAAGTTCTCTGAGCGTCAGTTTCCTCAAACTATCTAACTCAGAGGCTTGTTGTGGGGCATACATGGAACTGGTTCGCAGCAAACCCTCAGCCCGGGGCCTGGTGTGCAGCAGACACTCAGTGCTCTTAGCTATGCTGAGCGTTGCGGTTAATTACAGCAGAGGGCTCAGCCCCTGCCCTCTGGGAGCTTACAGAAAGGCAAAAGCAACAAGTCAAGGATGAAAATGCCAGGCTCTGGTGCGTTTTCCAGCATATGGATACCTATCTTAGGACTGAACAAACTGAACAGTATCACAGATGTTTTTGGCCTTTGGATCCATTCAGCAGGTTTCCCAGCTCTGAATGCACATCTCATCAGCCAGGAGACTTGGGAAAATGCAAACCCCAAACCCATTCTGGGACTTACAAAATAGAAGTCCCAGAGTCAGGGCCCTGGAATCTGTCTTTTTAACAGGCTGTCCAGTGGCTTCTGAAGCTCAGCTAGGTTTTCAGCACCTCTGCCCCCGTCTAACCTCCTCCCCTGCCAGGCACAGATGGGGAAACTGAGCTCCAGAGAGAGACAGGGAGTTGCCACAGTCCATGTGTTTGATTCAGGGCTGGGGACATTCCCAGGTCCTGCTCCCTCAGTGAGGACTCAGGGTCACGGGGTGGGGTAGACTGTGTCTGTAATAGGAAACACCTAAACCAGGGACCCACTGCACAGTGACAGGATCAGGGTCTCAGCCCAAGTGACCTGCCTGCCCCACACCACCCACATCACAGAAACAACCAAACCTTACATCAGGTGCCGAGGGCTTTCTGTCTGCCCATTTAAGGTGTGGACCAAGAAGGAAGTATCATTCGGTACGCTCCCAGTTGGCCCATCTGTCAGGGGCCAAGTTTGAGTTTAGGAGGATTTTTAGGGGCTGAGGGTTTTAACGAGAGGAGGGGAGACTTGCAGCTTAGAATGATGGAATTAATGACCTTTCTCCTGTGCAGCTCCAAAGCAGGCAATGACCCCTTTGCCCTGCCTTGCCCTCTTCCCCGCCCAGTGCCCCCACTACCCGCAATCCTGCAAACCTGATTTCAGTTGCCAGCAACTCCCACACTGGCCACCAGGAGCCATTGCAAACTGGCTGACCAGCCTCTGGTGGGGGCCACAGAGTAGGACGTGATCACGGCCCCCACTGAGACAGTACTCTGTAGCGGACAGGCTCACGGAGCTAGGTGCCTGGCTGCCTCACGAGTTAGTGGTCCCATAGCTGCAGGCTGTTCAGATTCTAGAGACGATAGCCTTGCCTCCTCGCCCCTCAAGGTGTCTGAACTAGCCACAGCAGCATCACCTGGGAGCTTGTTAGATAGGCAGCTTCTGGAACCCCTCTATAAATCTGAAGCCAAATTTGTATATAATAAATCCGAATCTGCATTTTCATAAATCCACAGGTGATTCACATAGAAACAGTCAGTCTGGGCTTTGGGGTTTCCTTTTAAGTCAGAAGTTCAGCTCCCTTGGCTTGTGGAGGACTGGCAGAAGTGACTCTCAGGTCTCACCCACCTGAAAACAGCAGTGCCAGGAAGTAGACCAGCAGCTGTGCACCTGAGCTCCCACCGTGGCTGTCTCTACCGGCCATGCTTGGCTGGCGCAGGACTCTGTAAGCCCCAATACCCAGGAGAGGCTATGAATGATATCACCTATTCTAGTGAACAATGATCACATGTGATGCCCTATGTATGCCATGTGCCAAGTGCTGTTATCTCATTTACCCTCCAATGTGAGGTGCCATCGTTATGCCCATTTTAAAGAGGAGAAAATTGGAGCTCAAAGTGTGTAGTAACACAGCCAGTAAGAGGTAGATTGACATCCAAGCTCAAGCTGACATCTAAGACCCAAACTCAAGTTGTCCAATTGTGCCTCAGTTTCCCCAGGGCCTTGCCATGATATCTGGGGGAAAGAGAGCCAAGACTCATGATATCTGGCATAGGAGCACTGGACATGGAGTTTTTTGGGCAAGAATTACGATTCAGCTTCTGCCACTGACTTGCTACCTGGCTGAACACATGGATGAACAGCTTTGGAATATGGAGGTGAAGTTCCGTTTTCTCCTCTGTGAAGTGGAGTAGAGACCACCTATTTCTGTGATGATGGAGATTAAATGCGGTCCTGGCCAGTCCTTGACCAAAGTAATTTTGCTTGCGTCCAGGTGTCTGCCTCCTGCTCCGGTCCACAGCCAGGAGCCCAGGAGCCAGCAGCCAGCCTGGAAGATGCAGAGCTCTCTCTCAGAGGGTTGCTGTGGCTTTCCATGTTCGTGGTGATGACGTCTCTGAGTTTCTGTGCAGTCTCTGCTTCCTGGGACCAGGGAAGATGGTCCCGTAAGTCTCACCCTAACGGTGAGTCTAGAACGGCTTTACTTTGGTCTTTCATCATCCTGGGCCCCTTTTCCCCCTAGAACCCCAAGACCCCTATTCCAACTACCCAAGCCATCCCCACTGGCACCACATCCTACCCATCCCCTTTGGAAGAACAAACAGCAGGGCAGGATGCCAGCGTGGTTCTCAGCCTTCCCCGGCACCAGTGCTTGGAGCCTGAGGGAGAGAAGCTCCTGCCCGTGCACTTCAAAGGAGGGTGAAAATACAGTGAGATCGTGGCTTGTGGTGAGGCCAATTCCACGGTTCTGGGAACTCAGCATTTGTTGAGGGGATGACAAGCTTAGCAGCTGTGGCCTTGTTCCAGGTTAGGCTGCGGGAGGCACAGACTGGAGTGCCTCTCCCCTACAGCCATGTCTATTCTGGGCTCCACCTTGGCCCTCCTCTGTTGCTCTGAACTTCCTTTGCTGTGTGGCTTTGGACAAGTTGCTTACCCTTTCTGAGCCTCACTTGACTGAAAGCTGGGAATAATAATTCCTTATGGAGTCATTGTGCATGTTAGACAAGGGAGATGTCCCACAAGCTCTTTGGTGAATGTCCTTTGCAGCATTCCGGCATAAGGCCATTACTCCACAGAGGTGTCTCCTGTCCCCTCTAGCTAGGGTGGGCAGGTCACTCACTGCCTAAGAGTCCAGCAGAATCGATGTCCTTGCAGAATGAACCTTCCAATCACTTAGGCACCCATCCAAATCCTGGCTCAGAGTTAGGCCAAGAGTGTCCCCATTCATAATGAAGATACATTAAAGTCCTCTTTAATTTGCCTGGTAAGTTTGATGAATGATCATGAATGGTCTTCACAAACACCTCACAAACTGTACACCCTTCACCTGGGGAAGATGCTGAGAGGCCCAGAGAAGGTGAGGCATGTGCCTGACGTCACACAGCAGGGCTGGCCAGAGGCAGCTCTTTGGGTGCCAGGGAGAGAAGCCTTGCTTAGGCACGGTGCCCAGACTGTGCCTGATGTGTGGCCCTGGAGGAATTCTGCCAAGGGGGTCCTTGGCTGTGATTTTACACACCCACTCCCACCCAAACAGTCAGCAGTGCCTTCCAGGGCCCATGCCTCCTTACCTTTGGGAGGAGGCAGAGGAGGGAGAAGGACAGGAGGTGGGTCTGCAGTGTGCCTCTCATGTCCCCTGCAGAGCCAGCTTTCAGCCTGGAAGGCGGACCTGTGAGTCTTTATGTTCCAGCAGCTGTGAGGTCACTCCCAAGCACACACACGCGCGCGCACAGGCACACACACACACACACACACGCACGTGCGCACACACTAGCTTTTTCGTTCCTTGCTTTGCTTCCCATCCTCTTGGCCCCAAGGATGAGCCCATTTACCTAAAGGTGAAACTGTGAAAGCCACCAAATGGGTCCCTGTCCATGTGCGTATGTGTGTGTGTAAGCCCGAGCCAGTGCCAGCACCAAGAGCCTGTGACAGCTTGCAGAGACCTCTTTAGCTCCTCCCAGCCCAAGAGGGTCCTAGCCCTGCTATAGTCGTGACGCCCTACTCCAGACCCCCTGTCCGAACCCCAGGGGGGCTGCAGATACAGGAAGCATTCAGCAAACACCCCCTTTATAGAACTGACCCGAGGTCTCCTAAGCCCCGTGGCCCTGACTCTGGGTAGCTGCGGCCCAGCCTGCGGTTTCTGGCAGGCAGATTGGCAGCCATCCAGAGGCGGGTGTGACCCAGAGCAAAACTTCCCTGGGCGGCCTGTCTGCTTTTGGCAATGAGGGGTCTCCCTCAGCCTGCCTCCCAGCTTGGGAAGGGGGTCCATGGTTGGTGAGTTCAGGCAGGCTGGACCCACTGTGTGCCAGTGCTTGCTGGGGACCGCTAAACGATGGGGTCAAGCCAAATCCATTTGGTTTCATTCAGCCGCCTCTGAGGTCACCTCTGCAGGAGCTGGAGGCACAATCATAACCTGAGGACAAAGCCCAGAGAGGGAGATGACAGAGGGAAAGCAGGTGGAAGTACAGGAATACCAGGCAAGGTCCCTGGCTCAGACCAACAGTGAGGGATGCTTTCTGATGGAGGTGCCATTTCAGAAAGCCAAGAAAAGAGAGGTGAGAGAGGGCAGAGTGTTCCAGGCCAAGGGAACAGCATGTACCAATGCCAAGAGGTCGGACATAGCATGATAGCCTGCTCATTCTGGGAGCCAGACTGCCGGGTACGAGTGGAGCCTTCTGTGCAACGGGAAATGGTGATGTCTGTGAAGGGTGAGGGGTCACACCACCAAGATTTGGGGACATCTATGATGTTCCAGCCATGGGAGCAGGGGATGGAAATACACGAGCTTTGCTTGTAGAATTTGGCAAAGATAAAAGAGGTGATGTCTTCAGCTGCCTGGTACTCCCATCACCTCCATCAGTAGTAGCCCAAGCCTCAAAGTGATCTAGCTAGATGGCAGAAGGTTCCAGAATGGGCGATTGGTGAGAAAGACATGTGACTTGATGTAGTGGCAAGACGGGGATTGTAAGCATGGAGATTCCCTCACAGCTGCTGTTCTGGGGGAAGAGGCAATGGAAACAGAAGTTGAAGATGAAAATGTGGGCTTTGATTGTTTGTGGAAGGAAGAGGTGGCCAGGATGGAGATGGGGGTCTAGAAACCTGGAGGAAAAGAAACACAAGGGGTCTCCTTTTTAATTTTGTTTTATTTTGGGCTCCTTGTGGAAATGCTGGTGTCTTAGAAGCATGCCTAGAGCACTTTACATCCACGATGGATCCTCTCCAACACACCTCTTCCTTCACATGACAAAATTATTTTCAGTAATCATCATGAAATGAAACAAGTATTTTTCAAGTATGAATTAAAATTTGCACTTACCAAACAAAATCATTACCACTCACTGTTCACAGCGTTTTACTCTTCTAAAAACTATAAATGCAAATCAAAAATCCAAGTAGTTTCGTAAAATGACAAAATCACCACTCTGCATTCATTGTTGATTTCACTCTACTGTTTAAATATAGAAATACATCCGGGCCGGTGGCTCATGCCTGTAATTTGGGAGGCCAGGATGGGAGGATCACCTGAGGTCAGGAGTTCAAGACCAGCCTCAGCAACATAGTGAAACCCCATCTCTACTAAAAAAAGGTACAAAAATTAGCCAGGTGTGGTAGCTCACACTTGTAATCCCAGCACTTTGGGAGACTGAGGCGGGTGGATCACCTGAGGTCAGGAGTTTGAGACCAGCCTGGCCAACATGATGAAACCCTGTCTCTACTAAAAATACAAAAAAAAAAAAAATTAGCTGGGTGTGATGGCAGGCGCCTGTAATGCCAGCTACTTGGGAGGCTGAAGCAGGAGAATCACTTGAACCTAGGAGGTGGAGGTTGCAGTGAGCCAAGATTGTGCCATTGCACTCCAGCCTGGAAAACAAGAGTGAAAGCATGGGTTTTTCTTGGAACTTTTTCTCTCTGATAACTGAGGATGGGAGAGTATTGTCAGTAGAGGCCCTGGGGCCTGGCCAGATCAGGAAGCAGGCATCATTGTCAAGGGTGTTGGGTAATGAAGTGTGAGGGATGGATCTCAGTTCAGTGTGGGTGGGTGTGGTGGGAGTGGTGGGAGCTGCCACTTTGCTGATTGGTTTTCTGTGGTTCCGCCCACCTTCTAAACTGTCCAGTTTTGGCACTGGAGGGACATACGCACCCAGGGAACCCATGAGTCTTTTGGCTGCAGCCACAGCCCCCACATAAGGGCCCAGGGTGAGTGTGGCTGCCCTTTGCTTTCCCGGAAGAAAACACGAGCTCAGGAGTCAACAGGTCCCAGCTTCAAATCCTGGCTCCCCCCACCAGCTTATAGGGCTTGGGCCATGGTGAGGTGACAGAGGCATGTAGGGTACCACATTTAGGGAGGCTCTCATTCTCAGCTGCTGACCTTGTACATGCAGGACCCCAGGAGCGAGTGCCTTGTTCAGAATGAGGCACCCAGGTCACACAAGGAGTTCATGGTAGGAACTCAGTCAATGTTGGCTGATGAGTAAATGACGATTTTCATAAGACAATGCTGCAATCACAAACTAATGCCCACATCTCAGTGGCTTATCCCAGTGAAGCTTATTTCTTGCTCATGAATAGTCGAAAGCGGGCCAGGCACATCTTCTGGGGCTAAGTCCTGTAGCTCCTCCCTACTCAAGTGTGTAGGGCCAATGTAGTGTAGGACTCAGATGTGTCCAAGGACCAATGGCATCAGCGTCAGCTGGTTGCATGTTGGAAATGCAGACTCCTCAGTCCCACTGTCAGAATCTGCATTTTAATAAGACCACCAGGTGATTTGCAAGCACATTACAGTTTGTGAATCCCTGTTCTAGTCCAGGGGCCTCCAAAGCCACCTTGGCAGAAAAACAGAGGGATGGAGAAGCCACATCATGACTTCTACTCACATCTCATTGGCCAGAGCTAGTCACATGGCCTCAACTTAACTGCAAGGGAGGCTGGGAAATAGCATCATTTTATGTGTACCTATGAAGGAGAACCGGAGCGAGGGACATCTAGGTAATGTTCTTTGCCACAGTTCCCTCGGTATCTGGGACACACACTTTTGCTTCTCTGGGTCTCAATTTCTCCATCTGTTAAAAAAAAAATAAAAGTGGCCTACATGTTCAGGCCTGGGCCAGGCTGAGCATTTTTAGCATCTAAGAAATGCATCTGGCTGGGCACAGTGGCTCATGCCTGTAATCCCAGCACTTTGGGAGTTCGAGGCAGGCAGATCACTTGAGGTCAGGAGTTCATGACCAGCCTGGCCAACATGGCGAAACCCTGTCTCTACTAAAAATACAAAAATTAGCCAGGCAGGGTGGTGTGTACCTATAATCCCAGCTACTTGAGAGGCCGAGGCAGGAAAATTGCTTGAAACTGGGAGGCAGAGGATGCAGTGAGCTGAGACTGTGCCACTGCACTCCAGCCTGGGCCACATAGCAAGATTCCATCTCAAAAAAAAAAAAAAATGCATCTGAAAAGTGAAACTTATGAAACATGGCCATCAAGGCATAGCATATGGAAGCCACAAGTAAATATCTGCATTTGAAAAGGGGAAGCCAGTCTCAGCCCTTTACAGTTTGTCAGCTCCCTGGGTGTGTACCTGCCTTCCCGCTTACAATCTCTGCCCCATGCCAAGTCCCAAGCTGACACTGGGGAGGTGGAGCTCACAGGTATGACATCATTTGGTCATGGGGACAGAGAAATCCAAACAGATCCTGACCCCAGCAGGGCTTGAAGTGAAGAAGAGCAGTGCTCTAGAGGCTAGATGTACCAGGGTGTGAGGGGACACCTGTACCATGGGAAGGTCAACAGTCAGGAGAACATCCCAACTCTGTGGCTACTTTGCTTTGTGGCTGTGCCTCAGTGAGGCAGGGATCTGTGGCAGAGCCTGATCAATGCCTGTTCCCATATCCTTCTTCCTCCTCCCTCAGTCACTGAACGCTGATTTTTTGTTTGGGGTGGTAATGCACTCAGCGTTGTAGGAGGCACGGCCATGGGATAGGTGTCAGCAGTGAGATACGAGCAGAAGTGGTGTGTGCCAATCCTGGGAAGGCTCCTTATAATGAAGGACTTCCCTTTGGTGACCCTGCCACCACTCATTGCTCCCTCCTGCTTCCAGTCAATAATATGGACGTGATGGTGGAGTTCCACAGCCATCCTGGACCATGAGGGTACCCTGAGGATGGACTTCGTTTGCAGAAGAGGGTGAAGGGGAAATAAAGAAACTTGGATCCCTGGTGTGCTGACACCCAGAGCTGCCATATACACCCTGGACTCTATGTGTAGATTTCATTTATGTGATTAGAAACATAATAATGTGTGTGTGTGCATGAGGGCGTACAGAGACACTATTATGTATACACACACACTATTTTTATACTTATATATATGTACTTTTTTTTTTTGAGACAGAATCTCACTATGTTGCCCAGAATGGAGTGCAGTGGTGCAATCACGGCTCACTGCAGCCTCCATCTCCTGGGATCCAGCAATTCTCCCACCTTAGCCTCCTCAGTAGCTGGGACTACAGGCATGTGTCACCATGCCTGGCTAAATGTTTGAAAAAAAATTTTTTTTTGGCAATATGTTGCTCAGGCTCGTCTTGAACTCCTGGGCTCAAGCAATCATCCCACCTCAGCCTCCCAAAGTGCTGGGATTACAGGCATGAGCCACTATGCTCAGCTGTGCTTTTAAAATGTGTGTGTGAATACGTTATATATAATATATATATTTTTGTATACATTATATATAATATATATGCTTATATATATTATATATTAAAAAAACCTTTCTAGGTCAAAGTTATTTTGTTTTTCTGGCTAGTTATTGCTGACGTAAAAGTGTCATTGATTTTTGTTGTTGATTGTGTATCTGGCAATTTTGCCGAACTCTCTTTTTGTTCTAATATTTTCTCAGTTTATTTGGTTAGTTTTTCAGGGTAGACGATCACACCATCTACAAACAATGGGAGTTTCATCTCTTCCCTTCTGATAATTATACCTCTTATTTTCTTTCCTTATACCTCAGCCCAGCTCTCCAGCTCTATGTATAAACAGCAGCAGTAGTAACTGGCACTCTTTCCTTGTTCCTCTTCTTCAAAGGCATGCACTATATATGAAGTTTCTCCACAAGGAATATTCTCTGTAGGTTAT